AGCTTCAACACTTCCGTGTGAGAGCAAATTGCCTTTATGAGCTGTGTGCTCCTAACATATCTTAGTGGCCACAGAGCCTATTGACTCGTGCGGATCGGCTTTAATTAGAGCGCACCTAGATCAAATCCGACACCAATCTCCTTCCTGGCCACGGTTCTTCCTCCAGGCCGTAGTCTCCTTAAGTAGGTTAGACCATTCTCCTACCGCACGTGGACGACTACAAGGAGATGTGTCGCAATGCAAATGCCCCGTGGTCTCATCGGTTCCCAGCTCTGTAGAAGTGATTAAATCAACGTGAAGAACATGGACCTTATCTCTTGTTATTCTAAATTCAAAGAGAACAACTGGGCGGGTATGATTTGATCATTGGTTCCTTCACGTAAAGTGCTCTTCGTAGCCTACGTAATCATTTTTAGAAAGCATGTCATAAACGCCTGGTGTGTGCCAAAAATGGCACGAACTTTTGGGACACGTTACTAGAACAAAATTGTCAGGCTTTGAAAGCAGATGTCACCAGTGAACATCATTTACAGCCAACCAGCCGACCTTGCTCGGCAAGATCTTCCAGCTCCATGTCGTCTAACACCGGTGTACGATGCTCTTCGCAAATGAGCACTGATGTTGCAAGCAGGTTCTTGTTTCGTGCATTCGTACTATCGAAGTACGCACTATTACTTCATGTGATATTCAGATCCGTACTTTATATTCCTCAGCTCGAGGTCGCTTTTGGTTTTGTGGCCATAGGAGATGCTGCGGTATCGACGGTTGATGTAACAAATCGTACAGATCACTCACTGCGTATACGGGCGAAGCTTAGTCATAGTGGACCGCCATTTGCGGTGAATATCTAATAGCCTCATCTCTGCCCTAATTTATTTCACAGTTTTCTTTTCATAGCTTTTGGACAGCCAAATTCTGGTACTGGATGCACGTCGAACAACTTCACTCCGTATTGAATTCACTCCGAACCAGAACGCTCGATTTTACACAGAGCTTCTCATTTCTGTTGAAGGGGGAGGTGGTCCTCAAGTCAAATACAGGGTATTGTCATTTTATTAATACTCTAAATTGTTCATGCCCCACTTTATAAATTTATTTTGGAGATGCCAGTACGTGGACTAGGAGGCGCTGCAATCGTAACGGTAAAATCCAGGGACGATTTACGTCTATCACGAAGTGGATTTTACATTCTGCAGTCATCATATGAGTCGACGTTCTCGTTCGCCTTAACAAACTCGGGAAATCGGTGCGTTTTTTCACACTTTGCACTTTTCATGCTGCTTCCCTTCATATGATGCACAGGCTCGTACTGCAAGCGATATCCCTAATTTTGCTTCATTAAGTGATTGTTACTGCTTCAAATGCTGTGAAAATCTTCTAGGTAAAGGTGCAATCATACTTTGGGACTGTCTTGCAGTCCGATTGTGCATGTGTGTGTGTGGCTCGCTGGGACAGAAAGCGATTTTTTACGTTTTATGCAGCGCAAAACTTTTCGCTGCGGGAATCCCAGGTCCACTCCTGATCAATGAAGAACCTAGGCTTCTCGCAGCGAAAAATAAAAAAAAAAGTTCGCGTCTGACCTTAGCGAACCACAACCCAGTTGGAGTCGTAGATGCATTATCGATCTGTGCTGCGATCGGATTAGTGATACAGGTGATATGAGCACATCTGTCGCAAAAAGGTGTTTAGGCTGATGTCAGAGTCCGCGATCCTTTGCGCGATTTTCGCGATTTGCGCGATTTTCGCGATTTTCGCGATTTGCGCGATTTGCGCGACGGGTCACGGAAATCACAAGTGCCCCATCCATACTGCAAGGTGTTCTCCAATCCCGCCGTCACTTCTGCTTGATGGTTATGGTTTAATGGAGACTGCTCATGATTCCACTTGTTTCATCCCAGTGTTTCAATTGTTCAAATGGGGCGCCTTGCAATTTTTGTGATTGGTTTAGTTTGATTCCTGAAAAAAATCAGGAACGATTCAAGAGCATTTCAATGAACTAATAGACACATTGAACATGAAACAAGTAGAACCACAAACATTCGTCTTCCAATCTTTACTGCCAAGCAGAATTCGCAGCAGGATTAAACAACACCTCGCAGTATTCATCGGGCACTTCCAACTCCTGTGATCCATCGCAGGTTTCGCGCAAAATCGCGCAAATCGCGAAATCAGCTGAAGAGATGGATTGCGGCTCTAGATACCAGCCTTAGGCTGTAACCCCATCGTGGTTGTAGACGTTTGCTAAGGAATACCTAGTTGAATCAAGGCAATTCATATGAGAATTCACAACAATTCACTCACGAATAATTCCGTGTCCAATTCTCTTTAACGGCAGCGGGTAACATCATTTTTGCAATTGTGTTGGGATTTCGCCTCACATCGCTCGTTGGAATCGAAGTTCGCTTGGAAATTGAAGCTGTTTTATATGCGAGACCTCACCAAAATTGTATTTTGTTATAGGAGGGCTTTTTCTCGCATAGTTGTTCTTTACTGTGGCGAATCCAACGTCCCAGAGCATCTGCCTGTTGATATACGTCCGGCATCTGGAATTGTGATTGATCGCGGTGATTCTAAGGTAAGCATTATTATAGAGTTCCGTTTTTTACGAAGCTAAAAATATTCGTTTATCAAACGGGCCAAGATTGCAGACAAGTATACATTGCGTCGTGGTCAAGAGGGGGATACTAGAGCACAGATCTTTCTTTCTTGTTTTAGAATTGGTCTTTTATAGCAAGTTTCCGTTCGCCTACGGTCTCCAATACCTGCGTTGGAGTGGCGATCGTCTCAGAATTCCATAGTATCTACGGCTTCAACCAATGTATGTATAATGCTGCTTTTTCATGATTTCTTTTACTTTTGCACGTTGAAATTGCAATATTATCAGTCTTGAAACAAACATTAGAAAGTTGGTGGTCGAATGATGCTTCACAGTTCAGCTTTCAGTTTGAGTGTGGATGGTTTTTGGCTATTTCATAGCCGAAATGCAAGCTAAGCTGCGAAGTATGATTCGACCATAGGGTGTTGTGGTTTCTGATATCGAGTCACCTAGCTTGCACGATTCTGAGTTAAAAACATCAACCCTATGTGCATTTGTCAATTTATAGCAGCCGAGAGGAGCGAGCCAACTGCAAGTGATCGTGTATTGGGGAGAAGAACGAACTCGTCAGCGTCTTAAATGGTGAACTGATTTCGCTTCTTAGAAAGAAATGCCTTACATAGTTACTCCGTGTAGCTGTTAGGAATGTGATTCATTATATGTACAGTAGCGCTCAAAAGTATTCGGCCAAATGCTTTTTCGGCCGTAACTTTCTTTCTGCTGAATCAAATCAGTTCAATTTTTGATATGTTTTAGAGGCAAACCTTCTCCACTAAGCAAGTGTATTATTGTTGAATGGGAGAAAGAATTCAGAAAGAAAAAATTTACACTAGAAATTCTCGAGTATGACCGAATTCCAAGTAATTTCAATTTATTGTAAAAAGCTTACAATTCAACAAAACAATCTACCGCATAATAAAAACGTTGGGCAGATTCAATACTTTCTTGATAATCCTTCTGGAGTTGTTAAACCTCGACATTCTGAGTGTGGAATCAATTGTGTTCGCCAGCATGGCGTGCTTTA